GGGGAAAATGCAGAAAAAGCCAACGCACAAGCCTCTTAACCAACCCTCGTGAATACTTATGTTTCCCACCCTCAAGGAGACCCACAACTTGGAAATAAATCCCCCTCTGCGGAGCCGACAAACGCGCACCCATCTCTTACACCCCCGGCTCCACAGTCTCACCACCCCCCAACGGCAAACGAGAAATTAAAGAACTAAAACAAGGGTCTGGACCCGAATCACACTCACTCCCCCCCCCAGGGGAGTCTACCAAGGAGCTACCAAGGGGCTCACACACACGCCCCCCCCGCCTTCTCCCCCACCGGGGAAAACTTACCAAGTCCAGACAGTGGCCGTGGGAGGTGTCCAAAGCCCCAGGAGCGGTCCCTCGTGCGCGGAGAGATTGTTGCTCCTTCCCCCGGGAGCGCCGCCGGACAAAAACCGGCCTGCTGCAACCGGGGTAGCTGCCGCCCAAAAGTCTTTGTAATCCAAAAACGACTCCTCCGGGGGTCTCCTCTCGCTGAAGAGGCCCCACGTTGGGCGCCAGCTGACGCTGCCCGCTGTGGCCCGTAACACTTTAGGCTAGCTCTGCTCACTGGCCGCTTGCAGCGTCAGGAGTGGGGAACGGTCTGGGAGCTGTTCTCCCCAGACCGAACCTTCAGAGCCCTGGTGCCACTATAGGCTCTGCGGAATCACGGCGTCGTGGGCTTCGGCGAAGAGATGGAGGAGACCCAGAGTCTAAGCAGCTTTCCAGGAAGAAGGATTTATTAAGGGAAAGGGAACGGTGACAGGACAAGGGCTGGAAAGGTGCACAGGAACCCCAAGGCTCTGGGCAAGCAGCACCTCTGTGCGCCTCAATTTAAGGTGGGGAGGGTACAAACACAGGAACCAATCAGGGTATCTCAGGGGAGGAGATGGGGGGAGGGCTTACAATGTTGGGGACCAATAGGAATAACCTGTGGGAGGGGCGGCAATCACAATGCCAATGGGGCCTCGAGTGAGGGATGAATGACAGGGAAGGAGCTAGAACAAAAGGTGGGGTTTACACAGATTGATGGGGTTCAGGGGCAGGAACAGGGTGATGGACAAGGAAGGTTCAGGAAAAAGGGGAGGGGTTTACAAAACTGACAAGCGGGTAAAACCATTCCAACTCATGGGGGGAATAACATTGAGAACAAACCATTTAAATTAATAATCAGAACAAAATGAACAGGCGGCAACAGTTTAAAAATTAAGAAGGAAAAGAGCTATTTAGGTTACAAATAACTTGTTTATAATAAATGTTTTTGCACACATTAAATGTGCATGATTAATCCTGCACTCACCTTTTACTACAAGAGCTGTGCATTAGGATCCTCCGTATCAGGTGATCCTCTTCTCAAAAAACAAAGTCAAGAATCTTTATTTACAGGATGGCTTTTGTCTCTGGGCCCAGAGACTTCTTTCAAGCAGAGATATTTCTATCATAGAAACAAAAAAAACACGGTTCCTTCCAAAATCAGTCAAAAGATGTATGAGTATCCAGAGTGATTCAGATCTCACATGCACGGTCCTTCTCCCAGTAAGCCTGTGTCCTCTCTAGTCACTTTGAAGGGAGTTTGAGTAAAACTACCACTTAAATGTTTCAATTACATTTGTGAAGTTCAATGGTAGGATGAGTCAAGGCTTGGGTTCAATGCAATAAAATATAAAGTCTTGAGCTAAGCAAATAGACTACCTATGAGGAAATTAAGTGACCTCATAAATTTCCTGATCACTACCAATTATGATTATTGATTGGCACTCTACCTTCAGTAAGCAAAGGAGAATTCAGAGAAAAAAGCCTGAACTTACACTTAAGATAGCTTATTAGTTATCTCTGGAAATGTCTCTTTCCATGAGAATTCACAATCAAGTTTTGGAAATAGGTCCTTCTGTTTTTCATTCTCTTATTTTAGAAGTCTTAGATGATATTTATATCCCTTCACTTTTTTTTT